TTCCATGAAAGAGATAGGACAAGCTCCCACAGCACCCAAAGCCTGTCAGTGCTGGGACTTCCAAACAACCCTGCAATTAAGTGATGTCCAAACTCACACTACTTAGCACCAAAGCAAACACTTTTCTTCCTAGTCCTAGGGTCACTCCCACACTTGTCTCATGAAAAAGGAGAGCAACAGAAGGGCCTGTGGCTCCTGGGGATGTCCTGTGCTGGAGCCCAGCCCTAGAGCAGCCCGGGGAGCTTCGGTCCCATTGCCCTTCTCTGCAGAATGCACACAAACTCTGCTGTCTCGCACTTGTTATATCACACAGCAGCCGGTTATGCCACTGCATTTGTCTCTCTCACTCCTCTCAGTCTATTCTCTATAAATCTCTTACCATGTTAGCAAAGGTCAGACCAGGTCACTTTCTGCCCAAGACTTCCCTCTATAGAGTAAGGGCCAAATTCCTCAGCATGACACGCAAGGCCCTGAACAATCTACACACACACACATACACACATGCACACACTAAACTCCACCCTTCACTCCCCCAAACATTGGACACATTCAAAACGCCGTGCATTTGCCTTGCCAGGACTAATCTTCCCACACTGCTACCTCATAACATAAACTGGTCCTGAACCCAAATGTCCTCTCCTCTGTGAAACCTTCCTCATCCCCCCTGGGGACTTGCCCTCTGCCCCCTCTCATTTTACAACAAAGCAGCTGTACTATAATTTAATCCTCCTGCAGACTGAGTTCAGGGCGTGAAGCCTTGAGTCTTTGCTGCCCTTCACCTAGCAAAGGCCTGGCACATAGCAGTTACCTTGAACATTTATTGAAAAAATTAAAAAATATGGAAATAAATGATCTCCACTCCTAGATGCATCACCCCAAATATTTTTGATGAGCTTTTTTGCCTCTTGTCCTCAATGTAGAGATTTTTCAACTATAAAGAATCTGTTATCACTTGCGTTTGAGAAGGTATCACTGAAGATGAATCCGCAGAGTTGTCTAAAGTAAACTAATAGTGCGCAATGTGGAATCTCTTCTGAAAAACTCACCTGCAGCTCAGTTTTATTCCTCCAAATGCATTTTCCTTAAAATGCACTTTCAACAATAATACAAACACTTACAGGATGCCAAGCATCAAATTAATATTAATGATAAAAACAATAATAATTTTCTTTAAACGAATTGATTGAAGTCAAGAAATAGCCAAACCATTTCACACGCAGTCAGAATTTTATATTTTTCATCAGAAAAACAATTCACTACCAATGACAAATAACAGTAGGGCCACTAAAACTACCTGTCATGCATCTAATGAAGACAGATGCTCTGGCTGCCACATATAATATATGTGATATCCAAAAGCGCTGCTGTAATTCACAGCTAATTAGTGTCTTGCCGTTATGAGAGGTGTCACGGCCCTAACTCTCTTCCGAGCTCTACTCAGACCTCACAAGAGCCCACAGCCACACAAGGACCACAACAAGCCAATTAGCAGCCACCCCAGCTTTGGGCTGCTGCTTCTGGAGCACCCCCTCCCAGCCTCAGTAAATCATCAGCTTGTTTCTGACAGCTGCAAGCCATGGCCACCCAAGGAACAAAGACAATACTTCTAAGAAAACTCAGGTGGTAAAGAGACAGAGATAGAAAAGAGATATTATTTGCCTGTATTGAGCAGCACAGCAGTCAGCAAAACTGAAGACCGTCAATCAATTCTGACTGCTTAAGGAGACAACTGCATCACAAAATAAATCCATGAGTGGTCTATCTGAAGATCCTTAGTGGTATTCAACAGTCAGCAATTAGGCTGTTTGTTTGTTTATTTTAATGCAGATGTACTGAAGACCTTTTTTTTTTTTCATTTTTCTCCTGTATAGCTCTCCTTCTGGCTAATAAGAGAATTTTCCTTTCAGTAGAACATAATGGTCTGCATTTATTTTGTCCCCCATGAATACACAGCAATCAGATAATTGTTTGAAAGACTCTAAACTGTGTGACTTATTGAAAAAAAATCTATAATGAAATGGTGATCTCCAAGTAGGGCCTACAAAGCTTACTAAATCCGTAAGCAAGCAGTAGAGTATTCTCAGCACATAACAGTCAATATCCTTGTAATTTTGTTCGAAGCCTATAAAGCCCGTTTTGTCCCATAGCATTCTACTTAGAGGGTTTTCAGAATAGTCAACTGTAGCTCAGGCATTACTCAAAGATATGACTCAGCTAAGTCTACTTTTAGTTTATTTTCCTTATAGAAATATTATTATTCCTTTATATTTTAATGCTAATCTAAAACATTTAATCTAGCTTGTGGCTATATATTGACTACCTAATTTGATATGTAAATATTGGCAAAGGCAAATAAATAAACATGGATTCATTTAATCTCAACAAGGAATTCCCTTATAGCCCTTCTTATCATTAGACATAGAAATTTCAAAACAATTTATTTTTCTTTTTCTAAATATAGTATTCTTATCGAAATCTTTAACTTTTCAAACACTTGTCTACAAGGATATGCATTGCATCATATTTTATAACAGCAAAATAACTGAAAATATATAAAATATGAAACAGATTAAATAAATGATGGCCCCAGCCCACCATGGAAAATAACATGTCTTCTAAAAATAATGTTGTAAAAGTATTAAATAATGTGAAAAATGTTCACAGGATACTGAGATACAAGAAAAATGAAGCCTAGATCCATATTACATACACACATATACACAGCCAATACTTACAGATACACATATATGTGCATCTATATGAGGAAGAACTAAAAAAAAAAAACACCAGAATTATCTTCTGCAGGGTGGGCTCCTTGCAGTATAGGTCCCCCACTAGGTGAGTGCTCTAGGAACCCATCTGTATCAGTGCACCAGTTGGCATTGTTGTAAGAGGTTGCATTTGGCTTCAGTGAATTTTTTTTTAACACTTTTTCAATGCATTAGCCCATTTCATGATGGCTGATTTACGAGTGCACCTGCCCACATCAAGCAGAGTGTTCAGCAGTTTTTTGACTAAAACCAGCATGACCCCGTGCCCCACCCTTCCTATTCACTTAACCTTACCCTAAGTGACTTTTTTGTTTCCCCGGATGAAAAAATTCCTCAAAGGGAAATGTTTTGCTGATGTGGAAGAAGTATAGCAAAAAAAGGGAATAGCACTCAAAGGCATCAAAATTGATGAGTTCAAGAACTGTTTTGAGCAGTGGAAAAAATGTCTCAATAGGTTTATTACATTAACTGGAGAGTACTTTAAAGGTGACTGAAGTTTAAACATGTAAGAATAAATACACAGTTTTTTATAAATAAATTCTGGAGTGTTTTTGTGTCCCCCTTCACTTGTATGCACATCCACATATATTTATATTTTTATTTATAATATGATCTCAATTTTGCTTTCTATGTGTGCATTTTTCTGTGTGTGTATTCAAATTAATATACTTGAATGTTAAGCATAGAAAAAAGCTTGCCAGAAACATATTTGAGTCTTAAAAATGTATCTTCAGAAGGTTATATTGTAAATTATTCTTCTTTAGCTTTTTGCTTCTATAAAAATGTTTATATTACTTTCATAGTCAGAAAAAAAAATCTATTATACATAATAAAATGTTCACTTACGTCACCTGGGTGTACGTAGGTGTAGACCGGTATGAAGGCCCAGCCTGTTTGGGTATCAGTTCTCAGTACCTAATGCCTATCATATACAGTAGTCATTAAAAATGTTATAATTTTTATATGACTGGGTTTATATGGCTGGGTATAACCAAAATTAGAAGAGTCAGTGTCACATCATGATTGGGAATGCTTCAAGAATGGTAATTAGAACAGCATTTTCTAACTGAGTAGGGGTGGAGCCGAATCTACAAGACTCTGTAATACTATATTGACTCAGTGTCAGAACAGGCAAGAACTGAATGACAAAACCTGAAACACTTGCCTCAATACCTCCACCCTTAATTCACTTCAGCTCTAATCCACCTGCTCTGATATTTGGGACAATCAGGTATAAGGAAGAAAATGGGTACCAAACACAGCATCTGGCCTTCGTTCAGGTCAGATCAAAGTTCCCAGTACATGGGGCTCAGGACCACATTCCATATTGTGCCATGCACTCTGTCCTGACTTCCAGCTCAGTGAGCGAGGCAGACACAACGAGGTGTGTGGGCATCGTGTTTGATAAACTTCTGTTGCAGGGCAACAGGGATAAAAGAAAGCAAAATCTCATCTCAAAAGGTTAACATCTAGCTGGTGAAACAAAATATATACTTTAAAAGGGATAATCACACAAATGATTGAACAATATAGAGATCAAAGAAGGGCAAGAAAAAGGTCTCACATGAGAGATGGACTGGAGTAGTCTTTGAGAGGACATTTTGCAGCATTGGAACATACATACATCAAGAAGCACAGATTCTTGAAAGCAGAGACATGCATATACCTATCACTCTTAAAGATAATTGTCAGGTCTTCTGTGCTTCTTTCCTAGAGCACTGTAAATTAAACATGTACTTGACTCTTAGCTGAAAAACTACATTTGACAAAATGTTACAAGTCATGGAGTTAATTAAATGCATTTGGATTCAACATTTCAATTCATTTCCCATTTACCAGTCAAAGACAAATGAAATGCAAAAAAAAAAAAAAGTATTATGGCAAGATCAATTTTGACAACAGTGTAGTTTTTGCTTCTTCCTTACTATTTCCCTTGAAGGATGGGATCCTTGATAATGCAAGTGAGAAAACACAGGCAGATCCATATGTTTTTTATTTCAAATTTAGAGTACATGTTATTTGAAACTGTTTATAGAGACTTCTAGCCATAGATATAAATCTCTTGCTAATTTTTATATTACTCTGGAGTAGCTCAATAGATATAATTTTGGTACTATTGTAAAAATAAGAAAAAAGGCCAGCTTAAAATTAACATGCCCATAATCACACAGTAGGTTCATGACTATAGCAATCAAACCCATAATAAATCATACAAAACAATGGCAGTACCTGAAAGAACGAAATCTCCTTTCTGACTTTCACTTTCTCGGATTAGAAAAGCACCTGTCTGATTTTCTGAGTATAATAGTTGTTTTTCTGCATCTGCTCTCTTGATTGCTCCAAAGAACCACCTACAAAAAGACAGACATGTAAACTTTAATTAACCAATCGACATTCATTTTTTCAGAAGCAGGAAATGTGACAAGGAAGTATTCTAACATCAGGAATGTTTGATATTCTTTAGTGGAACCTCTATAGGTATAAATGCTTTTGATACCTAAGATGATTTTCCAGGATGTTTATAACCCCCAGAGAGGAGTCTTTTAAAGAATTGCAGACCAGAAATTTGGTCGCTTGCTGGCTCTCACATCCTCCCCATTCCTGCATTGTCTCTGAGATGTCCTATGCCCTTTCATCAAATCAAGAGCCTCTGGGTGGGTCTACTCTGTAAACTTACAACATTTCATTACTCTAAAGTTACTCACCATAACCATCCAACTGCCCTCTGCCTCACCTAACCCCTCCCAGGTGTTAGGGGGCAATCGTTCCAATCAAAGGATTCATATATTTCACTTTAAAGTGTGAGCAATTAAAAATGTAGTATTCTGGACATTAATTCCCTTATTTTCCCACCCCCACCATAATATGATATAATTTTGCATACTTAGGGGAAACTTATTAACATAAAGGAAAGCATCATCCGTGGAGAGATTATGTGAAAAAGCTACTTCTGCCAAGGAAGTATTTTCTTAGTGCAACCTCAACTTATTATCTTTATTCTTTTATCCTTTTAGATAATAAGTAAACATTCCAGAAATATAAGTCAGATGCTGAACACAAAGGTTTGAGAATGGGGTTAACCACCACCACCAAATGATTATGAATTTTAATGTCAGAGCCAGTTTAAAATGTCTATTGAGTCAGTAGGCACCAATGTTATAAATAAGGGGGAGCTGAGAAAGCCCCCTTTCACTAAAGACCCCCCACCACAGGGTCATAAAGTTGATCTTTCTCAGTAAAGATATTAGGTAAAACATTGATCTTTCATTTTTAAAAATGTAAACTCTTCAAGGAAGGAAATGCTGACTTGAAGGAAGAAATGAAAGCTGGGTGAGAAATTGCAGGCTGGGAAAGGAAATAAAAGCCATCAAAAATTGGCTCCAACTGGTTTGTCAGGTCCTGAGTATTGAGAAACATGAGTGACATAGTTAGAAGGAGAAAAAAGGAATTAAAAATAAAAAAGAAACATTAAATATAAATATCACCATCCAACAAAGGCATGGCATTTGTTTACCACTTCCCCAATTATCAAATTGCGAATTACATATTAACTGTTTCAGTGAAGATATGCCAGGTTATGTTGAAGTAGTAATAGCTCCAAAAATCTCAGTGGTTTAAGACAACCAAGATTTGTTTTACACTCAACTACATGTCCATTGAAGGTCATCTGGGGCTCACCTCCATATCCATCTCTATGTTCACAGAAGATTTCCACTTGCACACGCCCATGATTGCTGAGGCATTGTTGGAAAAGGTGGCAAATCACAGGCTGGTTCCTGGAGCTTCTATGTGAAGCGTCTATTCAGGAATGAACTCACTGACAAGTAAGTCCTGTCCATGGTCGTGCTTAATGCAAAGGAATCAAAAGTGCAATCCCACAATTTTCTGTAAAGTCAGGGAGCTAGAAAGAGTTGGGAGACTACACTAATGACTGCTACACTGATTAACATCAGGGAGGAAACTTATGCCCAGGGGCTACTGTTTGTCCCGCTGAAATTATGAAAGGCCTGGAAGCATTCTGAGGATGATCATGTAAGGAACTCATGGAAAAATAGAAGTGCGTATTTCCTACCACTGCAAAATAAGTCAACAGAATATTGGAACATGGCAAAAAACTCAAACAGACCCAAACATATAAATTAGTGATTAAAGGATTAATTATTCAATAAATGATGCTGGTACTATTAATAATCCACAATAATCCATAAATTCATGATACCTACAGTATATACAATAATTCTACATAGATTAAAGACCTAATGAAAAATGCAAACTTTAAGAATCTGCTGATATTGGACTAAGAAAGTTTTCTTAGAAAAGACAAAAAAGAAAAAGACATCCAAAAGTTAAGGGAAAAGATTGATAATATTTATTATACCACAACTGAAACTGCAACAATAATATTACCATGAAATAAAATTAAAATACCAGCCACAGACCTGGAGAAAATATTTGCAAAGTATATAACCAAGAATAAGATTAATATTCAGAATATATAAAGACCTATGATCAATAAGAAAAAGACAACACAGAGTAAAAATTGGCATTGGACATAATGGAACAGTCCACAGAAGAAGAAAGCCCAATAAGAAATTTTTAAAAAGAGAAAAAAAGCACAACTTCCCTCAGTGTTGAAAATTCGAGGTATTAGGTATATTAAGTACAAAAACAATGAAATACAACTTTACACTCTTCAGGCTGACAAAATAAATAACTCGCATTCTAAAAATTAACAACTCTCAATCAGTTATTAGGAAAATGTGAAAGAAGAACCTTAATACAATACCAGTGGCAATATAATTAGGCACAAGTAACTCAGAGAGCAATTTGTCAATTTCTAGTAAAGGTAAACATTTGTATACTATCCAATTTCATTTCTAGTCTGTATGTTAAAGGAGAAATGCCACAAGAGCAATCACTGGAAGAATTGTAGCATTAAAAAATTGAAAGTGACCTAAATGTCCATAATAGGAAAATAAACAAATTTATTTATAGAATAAATAAAAATGGAATACTATATGTCAGTTAAAAATAAATTGTTGAAAGACAAAAGGAAGTTGAATGATACATTATAATGTCATTTATGTCAAGTTTATACAAACATATAAAAACACGGTATATTTTTATGGATGCATGCATGCTTAGTGAAAGGTTAAGTGAATAGTTAATATACTTGGGCATTTTTTTAGAATTCATTTCCAGAAATGGGGAGGTTTCTTTATGCAAATATTTCAAGCAAAGAAACAACAGGAATCAAATATACTGATCAATTCCATGCATCTTCCTGATTCCAAGTACACTGAGTATGCATAAACATTAAGATGTTTGATCAAAATGTAAATATGTGTAAAACTTTACAAGAATTGCAATTTATCTAGCAGAAGTGTGATTGTATCTCCTACATTATTATTCTCAAGAATAAATACTCCATTATATAAGTTTTATGTACATGCATTACATTTGTATTTTGGATAATACAAATGATGTATTTTCTCTGCCCAGTTTATGTATAAGCAAGCAGTTTTTGTAATTCAAATGATTAAAAATATAGTAATTTTACTCTTGATGAAGAGGAACCCTATAACTTTTTAAAATCCTTTCTGACTCACCAATTCTGTATTCTTGTATAATAGATTGACATAATGACTTTACATGGCAAATCATACCAGCGTTGAATCCATAATAACAATAAAATGGACATAAGTATTTGACTGGATGCATCAGCTCACTCAACACTTGGAATTTTACTTGGCTGAGCTCCCATCAGAAAGTGAACATAGATAAAAACTTGTTTTCTCTCTGGATGTAGTGACATTATAATGTCATCCTTCACATTCAAAGATGACACAGTTGCCAAAGACTGCAATCACTGGAGCATGTGCTGCTCTAGGGACTAATGGGCAAACAATAGCTCGTTCCACACTCTGCACATGCAGAGAAAACTGTTCCTGAATCTTCAGTTTGAGCCACAGGCAGAACTGTCATTCTCTTTAGTTCTGCCTTTTGGAGCCCCTGCTGTCCCCATTTGGGAAGGGTGTGCACATCCCAGGTCTGGTGTTCACCACAGCCATTGTACATCTATGTACAATGTGAATCTACATTGAATCTAGGTGAATCTATGTACATGAAGGTTTGAGAAATACTGATGTAGAGAAATAGTCAAAAAGTTAGAAATTTACACAAGACAGCTGAGAACAAGTTATAGCTTGGCATTTTACATGTAAAAAATTATCCAGTAAAATGACTCCATACACACTCATAAATACTAACCCTTATTTGTTATTGATATTTAATGAAAGTAATCACTATTGCAATGCCATACCTTCCATGAAAGAGATCTTGGTTAAGAACCAAAAAGGAGAAGAGATCCATAATGATCTACAACCTTAGAGAAATGCTTAAATTTGTTGAAAACAAAGCAAAGAGTATATGACTAAAGTCTAAGGTTTGGTTTATTTTGCAAACATTCATCCATTATCTGTTGTGTATAAATTCTATAGCACTGACACAGAGAGATCTACAAGACATATTGTTCAATGAAAAAGGATTACTTGCAGGGTAATAGTATATCTTAGTTTTACTTCTATTTTAAAAACCAACGAACTAAATACTGTATGTGTTTATTTTTCTGGATCTTAGTGAGAGATGATGAGATGATGAAAAAGAACCTTTACTTTTTACTTTGCATTCTTTGTAATTTAGATATTTACAATACCATGTAGTTTTATATCATGTTACAAGTCATTTAAATATAAAAAATGGGTCAGTCAGGAATATGCTACAGAAATATCCATTTTAAAGCTCTGTACTAGAACGTTTAGCAGTTAGAACTGACAGATACAAGGAAAATCTCAGAGGAATATGGGGCAAGTGATTATGGATAATATATCCGATAACACATTAGAAGTAAGAGTATAATAATGGTTAAGAATTACCTAGGGCACCTTATTGGGAAAGTTATTTAACCTCCCTATGCCTGTATGTCCTCATTTTTAGTCAGAAATAACAATTACCTTATAGGCTTGTTTTTGAAGTTAAAAAATAAAATAAAATATTTAATGTGCTTGATGCTCAATAAATAGCACCTACTTGAAGGTGCTAATTTAAGGAAGAAATTATATATTTTCTTTCAACATGTTGGATTTGAGGTCATAGTGGAACATGAATGAATATACACACACACACACACACACACACACACACACACACACACACACGATCTCACCTGTGTTTGTATTGAAATTTTCCTCCCAAGTGACCTGCCATTCTTGACTAGGACATTCTACCAGCAGGTGGCAGTAGGCCATTTTACTAACCCAAAAAGGCTAACTAAAACTATAGCATGACTTTT